AATATCATATTTGAGGTAGTAGATATGTATCTATCATTTTCTTATGAGATGAAAATCTATAATTATACTTGGTATTTAGGTTTACATAACATATTGAGATGTACTTGACATAGTTTATATGTTTCTTTTAATAAAATAAATAAATTCAAGATAAAAATTTTAAATTTAGCTTTTTGAGCTAGCAATATATGCACCTTAATGTGTACTTGACATAATTAGCAAAGCAAAAAAAATACGATAAATTATAAATTCAATAAAAGCTTATGAAATTTTTTTTTAAAAATCTCTTTATATACTAGTTTTTACATTTTGTTTAAAAGAATGTACTAGTTAAAAGAATAAAGAAAATGATTATATGTATTGAAATTTGAATTTTAAAGTTATTAAATGTCGTATATTATTGTATTAGATTTTTATTAAGTGTCTTATATTATTAGTATGTTATAAATATCTCAAACATGAATAATAATTAACATTGTATTAGATTTTTTTAAGTGTCTTATATTCTTGGTGTGTTATATATATCGTATTCGAGATAGTAGATATATACCTATCGTTTCCTCAAGAGGTGAAAATTTAGGTTTACATAATATATTGAGATATACTTGATATAAAATATATGTTTCTTTTTATAAAATAAACAAATTTAAGATAAAAATTTTGAATTTAGTTTTTATTAAATTGGTGATACATTCACTTTGACGTGTATTTAATATAATTAGCAAAATAAAATAAATACGACAAATTATAAATTCAATAAAAATTCGTGAAAATATTTCTTTTAGAAGCTTATTTTTACATTTTGTTCATAAGAATGTAGTAGTTTAAGAATAAAAAAAATAATTATGTGTTAAAGTTTAAAATTATTAAATTCATTTATTAAATGTAATGGATAAATAAATTAAATTAAATTAAAATTTTTAATTTTTTTAAACACAAACTTTAAAAGCATTCTTTTTTGCAACGTCCAGATTATAAAAAAAAAAAAAACTTCAAAGAATAATGGAAGCGGACCTTGTAATCTAGCAACATAATTTGATCTCAAAGACAGCATTGGACATGATAGAGATTCGAGAATAATCGAGGATGTTTCCTCTGCCAACTTATATGTTTTATGAAATAAAATAAACGATGAATATTGCTTTTTTTCAATGCACTGCACATGCGGCTGGATTTACTACACATGCGGAAGATAATTACTCTGACATCCCATAATAATTAGTTTCTCGACAAAGGGACTTGTTTCAAAATTTTTAATTCAGTATTTTATTTTCAAGTTTTAGGAGAAAAAATTAGATATTAATATATTAATTATATATTTTTAAATTTTTTCATAAAAAAAATTTAAAAATAAAAAAATATTTCATCTCTAAAGTTAAAATAAATCATTAACTTAATTGAAATTTATAAGTCTATTAAACTTTCAATCACAAATTTTTTAAATTTACAAATTATTTATAAAAATCATAAAAAATTTCAAATCTGAATGTTAATACATTTTTTTATCACTTTTGTTTACCCTGATCTGTTAAGATAATATTTATCTTAATAAAATTCAATAAATAACCTTTGACACATTACTTTTTCTTTTTTTTTTAATAGGATTATGGGAGAAATAAATAACAATGAAAACGATATTACATGTGATAGAGAAGGAGCAAGGCTGCTTCCTATTTGGTGGTTGATATAATATATGCTATAGATTGATAATTAAATAAAACGGTCCACATATATAATTAAAATTGCTTTTCCTAGGTATTGCACATGCCAAGAGGGCACAGTTATGGATATGCTCGGCGATTGAGCTTCTTTATAAAAATACAAAGGGGATTCTTTATTTTATTAATGTGTCTGCAGCAAATTGTTTAGTGGCAAAAGGCATGAAAATTTTGATGATTGCTAAGTGGAGAATACAAAAGTTGTGTTTACATATTTTTAGGTTAGGTAGGAATAGGATTCCCTGCAGCTTGAGTTATTGAATTTGTCAGATTTATCAAAAGAAAAAAATCATAAAATATTAAATTTAAAATTTTGGAACACATTCTGATATTTAAGTTGGGGTTTAGATTTTATTACATTTGTAATTTTGTATAATTTAATTTATTATATCATCAATTAAATTTAAATATTAAATTTAATAAGATTTATTTAATATAAATTTTTTATGATTTTTTATATTTTAATAATAATAATAATTATTATTTTTAAGGTAAGGCAAAGCTCGATTACAATAGAAGACTTGATTCAAAATTAAATTTTGAATGTTTTTTTAAAGGTTTCAGTGACCACTAAATCAAAAAGTGAAATATAAGATTTTTTGTTTATTTTATTTTTTGAGTTTTGGCTTCCAAAAAGTTGAGTCAAAATATTTATGTTTGAAAAACTATTACATTTATTGATAATGAAGTTTTATATTAAAATTACTAAAATGATATATCTTTAAAATTTAATTAACAAATAAAGAAAAATTTTAGAAAATAAAACATATGATAAGTAAATATCTCAGAATAAAAAAAAAGTAATTTTTTTTTTAATTTATCATTTTATTTAAATAAATTTTTATATTTTTATTACATCCAAATCAACTGATATTTATTTTACACTCAAATAAATCATTAACTCAATGCCCACAAGTAGGGGAAATTTCAAATCTGCAAAGAAACGGAAACCCCTAAATTCCACACTCGTTAGGGTTTTGCTACGGAATGTTGACGGGCAGGCCAAAGGATAGCGACATTCAGTTGGCGCTAGCGGAGCAGATATCAAGCCTTCCACCGCGACCTCCATTGACAGCATAGACGGCGATTGTAGAGTACGAGAAGCCGGTATTCAAGGAAGAGGAAGAGGATTTAGAGGTGACGCTCCGTCGCATTATAGAGAATGTGCCCGTTAACGTTAGTAACACCTCCGGAAGTTCTGCTGGTTCTGGGTCCGGTGATTTCCACCAGGTATTTTTTACTCTTAACTATGTATTGATTTTTTTTTTATGGTTTGTTTTTCTGGCTTGCCTACTAAATTTGCTTGCTCTGTTAGTAGATTGGCTGATGAAATAGATAAGATTGTGCAAAAATTTAGAGATTTTTGATCAGTTTGTGTTGGTTATCTTTAGATTTTATGGAAAATCTGATTGTAGGATTGTTGATCAGGCGTCAAATTTAATCACCCAAGCAGTAAATTTATGCAACATTAGCTTTCTTCAGTGTTCTGAAAGTGCAATACCAGAGCTTCCTCTCAACAGGATGATTAGCCAAGCTTTGAGAAGTTTCTCTGTTATCATTGTTGAAGTTATTATTCAAGTTTCAGAATTCCCCGATTAATTTTTGCTTGAAGGTTTCTACTAGCTTATATGACACATAACCTTTCTCAGTGTATAATGGAATCTTATCTTTGTTTCTTTTAGATTGGTGCTGCATATGATGCCTTAAAGCACAAGCATTGTCTTGAGTTAGTATTAAGTGTACATTGTAAAATTTTCATTGCTTATAATTGTTTGGAAAATCTGGGTTTGTGAAATTAGATGACTTACCAGCCTTCCAAATCTTCATTCCTTTGTTTCTCAAATTAATTCTTCTGTTTATTGCAACAGTATTGACAGATGAGACGGAAAGAGCAAGACAGGCTTGCGAGAATGGATGCTGACTAACAGAAAAGGAAGGAACTAGCCGAGTTTAACATGAGGAGGGAAGAACGATTGAAAGCTGCTGAGGAACGGAGAGCAAAGAAACGCCTAAAACGCCAAAAAGAAAAAGCAAATAAAAAAGGAGAAGAAGCTGAGATTGAGTGCTGAGGGAGAAGAGAATAAGAAGGAAGAATCTTCAGATGATGAAGGTGCAGCACAATGAACAAATTTTTACTTTGATATTAATGCTCTGATCTTGGTCCCGTGAACTTGGCTCCAACTAGAAGGAATCAGATATACCAAGAACGAGATATTGTGGTCTTCCTGTATACATACTTGTGGGAAGTGAAGGCATGAGGCTTGGCAGGAAATGAGACTCCAAAAGAAAAAGGTCTGAAATATTAATTTGATTCTTGTGACAGAAATTGTACTTATTCTGACTGACAGATTGAATGCCTTCACCACTTTTGGATGATGCTCAGCCATTGAAAACAAATATGAAATGATTCAATTCGATGACTGTTATTTTTTTGCGAAATTTTTGTTGGCTTAAGAAGTCGTATATTTACTGGCTACTTGTATTGCTATTCTAGATCACGAAATTAATGACAAATCTATTAAAAATCAGGAAGATTTCTGTTTCAAAATAAAGGGTTGCTTGGAATGATGACATTATTTTAGTTAATCTTTGCTTACTGTTTCATCTACCCTGGTCGACTGGGTCGATGCTGCAGTACAGAATGATTGTACGAGGGATGGTAGTTATTGTGGGATGAAAAAGGGGTGGTTGATGACTTTTTTCTAACCGTCGTTTGAGTTGTTAGTGTTACCGGTGGCCACCAGCCCAGCCACCAGGGCACTGGGTGTCAATAGCTGTTTTTTTTTTCCTCACTTTTTCTGGTATCAATAGCTGGATCACATGACCTGTCGCTTTTTCTGGTGATATCAGTTGAGAAGCTAAGGTTTGGGTCGACATCAAATCTATGTTCTGTATCATATTTCTGCCTCTAAACCAAAGTTGAGACTTAAAAAGAGTTTATATTCTTCACGTAGAAAAAATATTATATGAAACAGTTATACTACATCAATATATGTTATTTTCATTCATATCATGTTATATAATTATATTATTAAAAAAAATCAACTATTTATTACATATCAAATGTAATAAGTAAATAATAAATATTTATTTTAATAAATTAATTAATTATTCTCAATGCATGGCCTATACCAATTCTAAAGAGAAAAAGGGGCATAATCCAAGTAGATAGTAGTTCGATGGCTATTTTTTAATTGTCCAGTGTAATGCGAATTTGAGCTCATCAATTTATACGTGCCGTACATGATTTTCTTTCCTGTTTTCAGTCTCCAAAATGGTGTCCTATTCCTAACTCCTAATATGAATCTGGTAAACGCTTTCAAATGATGACGTTGAATATTACGATACGGCTGGTAGCGATAGCTGAACAAATAATAGGCCGAATGAGCCCATCTTCAGATAAAGGTGTAAAGCCCAGTTTACTTACCACATGACCTGACCTGTTCCGCTGTTCAGTCTGTTCACTTTCCCCGTTTCTGTTCGTATTCTTTTTCTCTCCCTCTCCTTTCTCTCTAAAACCAATTGCAGAAGAAACGAAAGCAGCAATCGCCCTCCCCATGGGAGATTCCAACCCTACTCCTCGCACATCAGTTCATCAAGCTCTTGGTGGTGGCAAAGGTATCCTCTCTTTTCTTCCCTTTCTACACCTCTCTATCCATATATTCGCAGCGGCTTCTTCATTTCATTTCCGTATAGATCTGTGTCACTTCCATTAATGCTTCCACGATCATTTCTATAAATGGGTGTTCTCGTGATAAATCTTTTCCGAACACCAATATTCCGAACTTCAGTTATAGTACCAATGCGCTAATTATATTGTTCTGCAACACCTTTTCTTCCTTTTTGAATGTGGTTTACATGAATCTGATTTGTTTTGGGTTGTTCTTTATTTTATTTTGTTTTATGGGTCGGGGTTTAATTTTATTTACGTATTGTTGGTAGTTGCTGATGTGCTATTGTGGAGAAAATGGAGTGGCGGAGTTGTGTTGCTAGTCTCGGCAACGACGTTGTGGTACTTATTCGAAAGAGCTGGTTATAATTTCTTGTCTTTCGTGGCCAACGTCTTATTGCTCCTTGTTGTTATTCTCTTCTTCTGGGCCAAATCTGCTTCCCTTCTCAACAGGTTTTTCCCATTTTTAACCTCTTTAATCTTTCCTTTACTAACTGTATTCCATTGCATGCTTCGATGAGAATTGGGAAATGCTCGTACCCAGAAAGAACAATGTGTGAAGATTTGTTGGAAGAAAATAGAAATTGAAAGTTTATCAGAGATTGTTCTTGAAAAGGGAAAATGGAAGTTATGGTATTGTTTGGTTAAGGGTTTAGTGAATTAGTGTGGAAAGTGATTCTGCTTTCTGATGCAGACCTTTGCCACCCCTTCCTAATTTGGAAATTTCTGAGAAAACTGTTGGGAGGGTTGCCGATGAGTTACAAGTATGGATCAATTATGTATTGTCGATTGCACATGACATTGCGATTGGCAGAAATTTGAAACTTTTTCTTAAGGTTAAGTTTTGCCTTTCTATCAGTTCATTTTCCTTTGGTTTGATATAAAATTTTAAAATGTCTTTGCCTTGCAAAAGTTTTAATATGTCTTCTGATCAGGTTGCTGTTGGCTTGTGGTTAGTATCATACATTGGTAGTCTCTTCAACTTCCTCACTCTGGTCTATGTTGGTGAGTTTTGAGACCCTATTTGTTTCTATAACAGTGATGATTCCTTTAACTTCATTCGTATATGCTTATTTCATTAGATGTGTTTGCAGGAGTTATTCTTAGCCTATCAGTTCCTTTAATATATGATAAGTACCAGCACCACATAGATGAGAAGCTTTCTGTAACACACAGAATCATTCAAACGCAGTACAGGAAAATTGATGAAACAGTATTGAGGAAGCTTCCATTGCCTTCAAACAAGGAAAAGAAGATGCGGTAGGTAAGTTTGCTTCCTTCTCTTTGCCTTTTTCTTGCATCACTTTTGTCTAAATGACTAAGATGCAAGCATCTTTTACATTGATTGTGTTGTATTAATTTGGATTATGCAACTTTTTAATTATTGTGTGTTTAACTGATTGCTCATACCACATGGTAAATATGCCTCCAATAAATGCACATTTAGTGACCAGTGTACTTCCTCAGGAAAAGCCATGTAATGGCCAAATCAAGAATTAACATATTAAGGTTTTAATAATCCTCTGATTCTTCGTCCCTCAAGCACAGCCTGCTGTCTAGATTCACCTCTTTCAGGAAGATGCTACTTAGTTAAAATTTAAGATTATAATTGTTCATGTTTTTTAGGTTTATGTATCATTTAGGATGGTTCATGATTTGCCTGGAATTCTCTCTCCTGCTATATTAATCGCTATTTTTGCATAGTGCTTGATCTTAAAATCAGCAATTCTCTGCAAATGATTTCAATCCTATTTTTCCTGTGAAGCCCTATTAAAATGCATTTATTTACTAATTCTGAACTGGTTTCCTCAATTGGATTTTATTCTAATAAGTAAATGAGTGCCATTTATTCTCATTCAACGATATCTGCTAATGTCTAAAACAGTCTTCAATATCTAGATAAATCTTAACTGATTGAAGCTTTCTCATAATTCTTACTCATTTCAAGTTTGCAAATATGTTCTTGGTTTGGTGGACATGGACATACTTTCAGTAGTGCATCTAATTGAAAATTATGGATTTTAGGGAAGTAACTATGAAGAAGGGTTAAATAAGGAGATTGTAGACTATTATCCTTGCAAAAATGAGCTCTCATAATTTGCTTTAATACTGAACTAATGCTTGGAAAAATAGGTCATTATCCAAATATCACAAGACATGTTTTTTACAAGTTAAAAAGTTTTTAGATGTAGAATATCAATATTTTGATCTTAAAAATTTTCCTTATGTGATCCCTATATGATAAAAGTGTAATGTCACCTTGAGCAAAATTAGCCGAAAAGTCTGTTTACCCATTTGGAAAACCTATCCAAGTGAGCTTTGATCAAACTATGACTTCTCAATATAAAAATGTAGACCATATGCCACTGACAGGTCCTGTTTCGAGGCCAGATGAGTTGAGATTATGAAATCACTGCGACTAATAGTCTGTGATCATAAATGGTAAGTTCTGAATAATTTCCTGTCCGATAATTCTTAGCATATTTTGCTTCTGTGAACAGGGTGCACAAATTGAGAATCATGTGCTTTCATTGTTTCGAAATTGAATAATTTAGCAACAAATCATCTAGGGATTTAATGTTGAAAAAAAACCTTGTATGCTTAGCTGGAAAAGGTCGGACAAGTTTTGAGACTTTTGATGTGATAAACATAGACACAGATTTAACTAGTTGATTTGGTTGCAGCACTTCTAAGACAAAATATTAATTTTTTGAAGCCTATTAATTGTCTTGTTTGAATTCACTTGTCGCCTCCTCTCCTCTCTCTCACATAAAGCATTGTACCTTATGCAGGGTCTTCATGTGGTCAAGTGTGACCAGGGGCATAGGATTTGGTTTTCAGGATGTGAAGCTTTGATATCTTTTTGCTCGATGCCATCAAATTTCCTATACCAGTCGAGTAACCAATCTTTAGGAGCGGACTAACCTTGATAACTTTTATTTTTGGGAGAAGAACTTTTTCTTTTTTCCGCCCTTGTGGGAACCCTATATTCTTGATTTAAGTAATGGCCTGCAATTTATACATTTGTGGTTATATTTTACATGCTCATTTGGGTTGGACAAAGATAATCCTCCAATGGAGGAAACTTGTTTATGGTAATGGAATCCAAGCTTATACATTTCTTTTCTACGTGAGCTTTTCATTATACCAGTCTGCAGAAGATGTATCGTTCTACGTGAGCTTTTCCAGGAGACTTACATGTATAGTAATCTGAGATAATGTTTAGAATAATAGCGTAACACTTTGTCATGTTAACCAAAAACACAACTTCCTGAATGGTATAATATATGAATTTGCATCTGGCCTTATTTTTTTGGTTGAGGCCACGATATTTATATCCATAAAATTAGAGGCTTTCATTTGACCTTTTCATTTGTCTAAAACACTGATAAGAGGTGACAGTGAACGGCATGTAAAGGAAAATTTCTGTTGTTTCAATGGCTGCTCTCATGGACAAGGGGCAATATGCAGACATTTTTGAGGTCATAATGATTGATGAACACACCATTGATCCAATGTTTGCCATTCATGGTTTGCATAAATTAAACCTCTTCATTTTGAGATGAACTTCTCTTTTGTTCTCATACCATAAAAGATTGGCTTCTGGTGACCTGTTTTTCTAAAGGCTTGCTTTTCTTTATCTTGGCAGTACTACCTCTTCCCAGCAACACTTTTAAAAAACGTAACCTTCCAGAAAACACTTCTCAAACAATGAATAAGCCAAAGGATTGACTACCCTTGATGGTCGATTATATTTAGTCACAAACTCAGTCAAGAGAGGAAAATCCTCTATCCCAATGAAAATGCAACCTCTAACTCATTGCCGCATGCTGTCTTGGTGCATGACATGTATTTATTTATTAAAAAAAAAAAAGAACTGATGGCTTGTAAAACCGCTATCAGATGTAAAATCGAATTTAACTATTCTGCATTTCAACAAAATTAAGGCTACAAAATCATGTTCCAGCAGAAGGTTCAATTCATGATATTTACCAAGAAAGGCAGAATTTATGCAATCCTGGGAATTGAAACACTGTCTGAATTAGGTAACGTTACTGAGCGCAACAGTTCCAGTGAGAACACAAGCCCCAGAAAATGAGAAAGGATAGTGTTAGCTGACGCCTGCATGAGCAAGAGATTCATAAGGACATGCAACATGACCAAAAAAAATTTCTCATTACAAGTTTGTATTTGATCAATGTCTTATATTGGCTGTTAGTTATGACACCGTTCATTTCAGTTGACTATGAATCAAGAATCCAGTAGAATAATTACAACCTGATAAGCATAAATGTTCCTCAGTTTTAGAAACCATGAATATCAGTATCGGACTGAAAATATAGCATAGAGGAAAATAAACTTCAAATTTATGTTCAGTACCTGTATGGAGAACCATATGCTATAAATTTACTTGCATTTATACATCCATATGGAGAACCATGTTCTTCAAGGTATCTGCAATTGGTTGCTATCAATCTAACAGACCCAGTTAATGTCACTCTCTGTACATACAAAACGACCTGCACATTGCTGGCAGGTCTTTCTGAATATTGACTGGTAACTGAAAAGCAGGGACTTCAAATTTTTGAGGGGACAGGCTCCTCTTCCTTTTCAACTTCCATTTTCTTTCTTCTCCTAGTTTGGGAAAGAGGAAGGGGTGTCTTGAGGGGCAAACTAATGCAGTAACTAAAGTCTCAAATCCACAAACAAAAGCCTAATTCAGTTAAAATTACAGATACTCAAATTAGATTAAGTACCTGCACCAGGAATACATCCAATGCAAGAACTGGACCATAGCCAGGAGAAATTCCTTGGTAATAAGGATTTGTGGATGAAGTAAGAGCCTTAGCGACTAGTAAGCCCACTTTTGCTTGCATACCAAGAATAGCAGCACCCATTCCTAGAAGATTCAGAAATATGCCATTTTTCAAGCTTTTCACAACATCAGCACGAGAAGGAGCCTGAAAACCAACGGAAAATTAGGAGTTATTGGAAATTGAATGAGGCAAGAAGCATTAATCAAAGCTCAAATAAGCCCTGAATTTAGGCACATGCCAAACCGGAATCTAATCTTCCAAACTCAAAAGCAATCCTATATGTGACTTAATCAAGATCAAGCTCAAATGGTTCACTACAACTGTAATTCAAGGAAGAAAATGTGGTGACAGAAACCTGGAAATAGAATCTTAAAATTCCAAATTTTGGCAGCTATCTATTATTTGATACCAACAACTGTGGATGACCAGTGGTTAAACTGTCTCCTTTTTCAAGTAAATGGAATATTAAACTAAAGCTCCTTTAGAGGCAAAACAACTCTGCCCTTTATCTTAAAGATTTTCTCATAAATAATAAGACATTGTTCAATTATACAATGAAGCATATGAACCAGGAAAATAAGTGAACTACTATAGTAGCTTGTCTCTAAGCTGTGTTGCACTTCAACAAATCCTTTGCTAACTTTCAGTAGACTCTTTGACTTACTCAAGACAAACCACCAAAAATTTAAGAAATCTAACCCTTTTCTTCTAAGTTCCAAGTAAGTTGATGAACTTCCTAAGTGTAGATTGCACTAACTATATGAAACATAAACCAAAATGAGAAAGATATGAATAAAGTTATCCAGCTTAAGTCCTTTGAGCAAGGGCTAATTAATTTCTTCAAATTCGAAATATTAGGATAATTAACTTAAAATACCTAGCAAACAGAGTGTGCCTATTCTATGAAAATACTCTCAAGTAAACCTAAATGTCTAGAAAGTAATGACAAAGAATATTGGAATGGATTGCCCCCCTCAACTCTCAGTATTCTGCCCTTTAAAATAAACATGTTTCTATGTGAAATGCATAACCGAATATATAATTAATGCGTAATCAACCAGGTTCATGTGTGGCATTCATCCTAAACTAAGACACATGATAACAAAAGCAGATTAAGAACAACGCATATATGCAATTCAAATACGTATCTTTTTCTCCTAGAACTTAAGTACAAGGACAAACATACAAAAAGAAATATGCAAGTTTAAGTTATAAATAATGCACCAGATACTTTAAACTGTTTACATAATTTCAACTCACAATACCTTTGAAGGATCATTAGCTGTTCTCTTGAGCTTCTCAGAAAGTCTAATATACCCAAACGACCAAAAAACTGATATAAATGCAGCCACAATTCCACCGGCAGTGGCATAGAAAGCAGCAGGTGATGTGATTTTCCCAGTAATAACAACAGAAAATGAAAGTATCACCGCTGACACCACAGTGCATACTAGCTGTCCCCAAAACCCTAAATTGCCCAATCGCATAAAGTACCTCGACGTCCTCTCTAACCTCTTCGAAACCTGCATCAGTTCCATTCAAAATCCTTATCCTAAATGCTCTAAAAAAAACATTTATTTACAGTCCACTAAAACCAAAACCCCACTAAACAATTCAAAATTAACCCACAGAACTTCTGCTAAGTTTAATGTCGAAGCTGTTATCTGTATGTTGACGTTACTGATTACATAAACAATGCTAATTACTGGTTGCATTTCTTTGCTTTTTTCAAGATATTTTTAACTACCCAGAAGATAATATATCACAAAAATATGACCAAAATAAACCAAGAGCAGAAATCCAATTCGATAAAATTGAAACTTCAGCACCAAATAAGTCAAACCCAGTAAAAAATTAGAGTTTTTGAATCAGTTAAAAAGAGTAACATCTGAGACTACGAAAAGGAAAGTGAGGGAGTACCTGAGCGAGCTTTGCTTCGTCACTATCATCATTAGGGGAGGTAAAACTAGGTGAAACTGGGGAACGAGAGACTCTGCTCAAAAAAAGCTTATATCTTTTAACATTGAGAGGATCGTTGGAAGCGAAGGGGGACAGGAGAGGCTTTGCTTTCCGAGTTTTGAGTGACGCGAGAAAATTCGAAGGAGAGAGAGTGAGCGGTGGTCGGTGACGGTGAGAGGGGACGGGACCCATCACCACCGAACAATTCCCGGAGCGAGTTGCTGGCAGCAATAGCGTTTGCATGATGATTAGATGGTGTGTGGGGGATTTGGAATGGAGTTAGTGCGGCGGTTGGGAAGTGGCAACCTAGCGTTTCACTTGTTTGATCTGAGAAAATGGATGCTCGACTCGATATAGAATGGAAACTTTCTTTGTTTTGTTACTTACTGGTTTAATATCTGTAATGGCATATGAAGGGTACTGAAATATTTAATGAGTTATTAAATTTTAAAAATTATAATATTTGAATTATAAATTTATTAATTAATATTATATTTAAATAATTGTTAATATTTTTATGTTATTATTTAAAATTAATTATATTAAATATGAGTGTTATTTAATTAATAGATTTATAATTTAAATATTATATTAAAATTTTTTAAAATTTATATATTTCATTAAATATTTCTTATAATTTAGATAATATTTGTGACATTAATCTTCAATTTTTTTTTTAGTCTTGTTTTATTAATTTTTTTTTTAGTTTAATAAGATATTAAATAATGTTATAAAATTTTGGAAAAAAATTCAAAAAATTAAAAAAAAATTTATGACAATTTAATATTAAGTCATATGATATACATGTTGTCAAATTTTTAAAGAGTATGGATTTGGGAAGATTTATAAAGTAAATATCCTCGTCACTTGAGTAGTCAATAAAGACTAAAACAATAAGGATAAATTATAAATAAATAATAATAAAAAAAAGACTAGATCAATATATTATACTACTATGATTATCCAAATGAAAATTAGGTTAACTCCACTCTCGTATGACTGTTTCTTAGATACAGGGTTAATAATCCAAAAACTCAATCAAATATTCACAAGCTTGACAGCCTTAATTTGGTTTTGTCTTGAAGCCCGACTATTATGCTACAAAGAGATGATAAACTATTTTTAGCAAATGAAACAATATTATTGTTAAGAATAAACCTTCAAGGCAAGATGCCATAGCATGTGAAATCACAGAGAGGGCCAGCAAAAAAAAAAGGGTACAAAGAAACAAGAGTTAAGGTTTAACGTAGATTCGGTCGGGGAATTTCCTGACTAATCTTTTTTCACAAAGAAAACAAAGGATGAAAAGGAGGCAGGCAGGTTAAGTTGGACTACGACTTTCACAGTACTAAACTACAAACTCCCTGGTGCAGTGGTGCTCGTAGTAGATTAGATATGTATGACAACTGGAGCACATTGTTCACAAAATCAACAAATTTTACACAGTTTAGGTTTTTTTAATGTAATTTGGGAAATGCAGTTGCTATGGAATTCGGACCATTGCTCAGAATGAGAAACTGTGCCATTTGCAAATGAAAGTTCACTGAAGTTCAAAGTATTACCTAAGCAGACACCGGTTTTTAATTTCTCTCTGTTCCTGTTTTTGGAGCCGAAAGAAATTTTGTTGTGTTGCATAAACTTCTTAGTTTCCGGAGAAAAGCACATCCAGAAACATGCCCCAAATAAAGGTGCAGGGCAAACTTTGGGATGATTTCTCGTGCTTACTAAAGTGACTGCCAGCCCGTCAACTACTCATGCTTATAAATTTTCTGATACTTTCCACCTCTTATTGCTCTTATTCTCATGAGAAATCCTTGGTTCAAGTTGTGGGCTGATTCATGGTTTGGTTACGCTACAATTGTTGGGGACCAAGGGCATAAATGGTGATGAAATTGAAAATTGCCTTGCATGCATCTGCAACTGATTGATTATCACGGATTTGGTGAGATTCTAGCTCATAACACATGCACTTCTCATGACTAATCAGATTGTTCTGAGGAAGGTATTGCATTCTAATTTCTAACTAAATAACATGTCCTAGGTAGGAAACTGGCAAGTTTTACAAAAAATTGGGAGAAAATACCTATAAATATGCTTTTACACTATCTATCTCTCCTCCCAATTCAACATAATGGAGAACAAACAGAAAGTTGATTACTTAACTAACAAGCAAAATGCAAACAAACAGCTCGTGACTGTGATCAAAAGTATATAGAGATTCGAAATTGATGCATTTCTTATACCTTGTTTTTTTCGTAAATATTAATACTATGACCCACCAGATTAGTAGTCATACCACTTTTAATTATGCAGCTCATAACCCACTTTTTTAATGAGGTTTATTGTTCTTTATAATATAGTAAGATTAGTTGCAACCATTATGAAAGGAAGATGATGGTAGAGAATGAGTAGATTGGCTGAGGATGTTACAAATTTCTTAGTTGTAGAATGATTGAAACTTTGAAAGTAGACCATTGCTATTAGAATTGTTCATGACAGCAGGCCTGATATGATACCTATTTGATTTGATCTACTTTTCTTGATTCAATGCCAAGAATCGCCCGTGACAGATGTCATTTAGTCCTTTTTTAACTGATTACGACTTTCATCATGTGGAGACAAGTGACTATCGAAATTTGATCTTTCCCTTTCCCCCTTTTTCCTCTTTTTGCACTTTAGTCCCAATAATTTTACCTATTTCATATCCCTAGGCTCCTTAGCCAGTTAGCCTTACCCGTCTATGTTCTTTTTACTTTTTGGAACTGTTGAACTAGTGTATTCTAGGGAGCATCCTACGCTAGGTGTTCAACTTAAACTCTGCAACCCGATGGACCTCAAGCTCACTGGGCTGTCTTGTAGTTCCAGATAGGAGATTCCTCGCTGTCCGTCTTGTCTACCCGTAATTATACGAGGCAAAAACCAGTTTACTTAAAGTTGAGGTAGTACAACGTCTGCCACTTTTATTATCTTATACCATGATAAGCCAAGTCCCATTTATGAACTCATCATTATATCAACTCCACTTCTAGTAAGAACAGACTCCTTGTTTTCGCTGCTTTACTCTCTGCATTAAAAACCAACTTTTTCTTCAATTTAGTGCCAATTATTATCAACTCTGCTGTTTGTTGGGTTCCTTTCATTAAATCAGTGGCATACTTCTGCTTTCTACCCATTTCTTATCTTTTTTAACAGCTCCACTTTTGATTCTAACTCCTCAACGTAGATTTGGTCAACAAAAAAAGTATAACTGCAGTTGGTGACCTTCTCTCCTGCTCCCCTGACTTAATATGAATACGTAGCCTGAGATGCGAAATCAGCTCAGGAGCAAGAATCCATGGGTTTCAACAGGAGCGTTTTCCACTTCTTCACCTTTCTTCTGCTTGTTTTTCAAGTTCCTTCACTAGCTCTCAACACTGACGGGGTCCTTTTGCTTTCCTTCAAATATTCCATCCTCAGTGACCCATTATCAGTCTTGCAAAGCTGGAACTACGATGATGAAACGCCATGTGCATGGAATGGAGTGACTTGCGCTGATATTGGCATTCCAGGAACACCAGACACGTTCAGGGTCACCAGCTTGGTCCTCCCAAACAGCCGTCTTCTTGGTTCAATTTCAGAAGACCTTGGCCACATTCAGCACCTTCGCCACTTGGATCTCTCAGACAACCTTTTTAATGGAACTTTGCCAAGCTCTATTTTTAACTCAACTGAGCTTCAGGTATTCTCTTTGTCCGGAAATGTCATCTCTGGTCAGTTGCCTGAGTCCATTGGTGGAATGACTAGTCTTCAGCTCCTGAATCTCTCTAATAATGCCTTGGCTGGGACAGTACCTGAAAATTTGACAGCTTTGCAAAACTTAACTGTTGTCTCTTTAAGGAGTAACTATTTCTCAGGAAATGTACCTAGTGGTTTCAATTCAGTTGAGGTACTGGATCTGTCCTCGAATCTGCTTAACGGGTCTCTCCCTTTAGATTTTGGTGGTGGTAATTTGCATTATTTGAACTTGTCTTACAACAAGATTTCAGGGTCAATAGCACCAGAGTTTGCAAAGCAACTTCCTCATAACGCCACCATTGATCTCTCATTCAATAATTTAACTGGGGCGATTCCAGAGTCTCTATCTTTGCTTAATCAGAAAACAGAGTCCTTTTCAGGTAATATTGATCTATGTGGGAAACCGTTGAAAAGCCTTTGCTCAATTCCTTCAACACTTTCAACTCCACCAAATGTTTCCCAATCCATATCACCAGCAATTGCAGTGATACCACAGTCAATAGACTCAACCCCTGGAGAACCAAATACCATTCAAAACCAAGCACGAGGCAGTCTAAAGCCAGGCACAATAGCAGCAATAGCAGTAGCAGACTTAGCTGGTATATCCATTCTTGGCATGATCATTCTTTACGTCTACCAACTCAAGAAGCGAAAAGATCTCAACCAAAGCACCTCAACAAGCAACCTCGAGAAAAAACCTGACGTACCGGTCTCAAAAGCGCAAGTGGAATCAGGAACAATAATGCCATCATCATGTTCATGCATAAAGTTAAAACTCATAGAGACATCGGATACTACCACTACCAGTTCTGATAGTGACCAGGAAGAGAAAAACCGAGTCATAAATTTGAACCCAACTGAGGCATACCAGAAAGGAGGCAAGCTCGTGACAGTGGATGGGGAAACTGAGCTGGAGTTAGAGACTTTGCTCAAGGCATCAGCTTATATTTTGGGGACGAGTGGATCAAGCATTGTTTACAAGGCTGTGCTAGAGAATGGGACTGCATTTGCAGTCAGAAGGATTGGAGAGAGTTCGGTGGAGAGGTTAAAGGATTTTGAAAGCCAAGTTAGGATTATAGCCAAGTTAAGGCACCCAAATTTGGTTAAAATTCTTGGGTTTTACTGGGGAGATGATGAGAAGCTTGTTATCTATGACTACGTCTCCAATGGCAGCCTCGCTTGCTCAAGTACTTACAGTAAGTTCCAGCTGTCTCACTCTCTCTCTGTTCCGATCATGTGCACACTAGCAGGAACCCATTTCTGCTCACTAAAATGCGCTGCATTACTGGTGCATGTTAGTACATTACGTGTTCATCTTTCTAAGCATATGTTCACGCGCATGATAGGCACGTTTATATACTTTTTGCTAAAATAGGCCTTGCAATATAAGCCGCTAGATTTCGATTCTGGGGCATATATACGGTTTATCTAACGGCATAGGACCCGCAATAATGAAGTATAAGCTGTCTCATTGCCAGTACCGTTGATGAGTTTTAGAAGTTTATGGCTATGAATTGGATGGTAGCCCGTAAATAATGGTGACAAAATCTTTGATAATAATAAGTAATAGTAGTTAAGAAGAAAACGCCTAATACTCCAAATGCATTTGTCGCTTTCTTTAGAAAAACAGATGGCTTTGCGAAAATGGACTGACTCAACTGTTATTTTAACTCCACACATCTTAGAGATTTGAAGACATTTCCAACGTGGGGTTTGTCTGATATTGCTTTGGTGTGGTTTAAGTTTGCTTGAAACTTGAACGATTTGTTCTCTGTCTTCTTTTTTTTCCCATTTGGATAACTTGTCAATTGGTTTCTAGTTTAAGAAATTGATTCCTTTTCGGGATTTTTTGAGAAGAAAACAAAACTTAGAACAGACTTTGCCCCCCACATCGAATCGACCCGATGCTCGAGTTTTCATCCGAATTCCAAAAGGATAGACTTGGCTTCTCCCCTCTACGTAATGATGACACTAACTTTCGGTTCATTATTTTTTTTCCTGGTAACATTTGAGAGCTTCAGTAGCACTGCTATTTCCTGTGCGTCTTTTCAGGGCTTGCATTCCAAGTAGGACGTTGATTCTTGGGCTTTTTAAAGTATCCTATTTAAACTTTTAAACACTGAATTTTAACCGTGAAAATATGTAGTTGGAACTTATAATCAATTACTTGCATATGAAGTTTTGAACGCAAAAAGAATAGACAATTAGGGAAACAATCAAAGGGTGCTACGACCCACACCCCCTTCACTAGCTAGAATACATTTGTAGTTGCATGGATGAGTTTTGTTTTGTCACTTACAAATATTGGCCTTATTTTGTTTTATGAAAACAGGAAGATCAGGCTCATCATCACCTTGCCATTTACCTTTTGAAGCCCGTCTTAAAATAGCAAGAGGAGTGGCTTTGGGACTGGCCTACATTCATGAAAAGAAACAAGTTCATGGCAACATCAAACCAAGCAACATTCTTTTAAACTCCAATATGGAGCCCTTAATTAGTGACCTGGGACTAGACCGCCTTCTCTCAGGCAACGCCAGCTACAAAGCAAACAATTCATCAGCCAGGTTTATAAGCAGCCAACGGTCCACAGCTTCTCGTGATGGCCCATCCTACCCCCGAACCAGTCCAAGCCCCCATGTGCCTGCCACTGCCAGCTATTCCACAGGAATATATCAAGCACCAGAGTCATTAAAGAACCTCAAACCAAACCCGAAATGGGATGTCTACTCATTTGGCGTAATTTTGCTTGAACTTCTCAGTGGGAGAGTGTTCTCAACCAGGGAATTGGGACAGTTGGAGATGCCAGCCGGTTCAATCGGGGAAGAAAAGATCCGGGCTGTCCGCTTGGCTGATGTGGCGATAAGGAGTGACGTGGAAGGCAGGGAAGAAGCCATGCTGGCGTGTTTTAGATTAGGGTTTAGTTGTGCATCATTTGTGCCACAAAAGAGACCGTCCATGAAAGAAGCAGTTCAAATCCTAGAAAAAATCCCTGAAGCTGCTTCTTCTTCCTCCTCTTCATGTTAATGAAATGATGCATTTGGGTCCTACAAAAAGTGCTCCAGCGAGCTCTAAAGTAATTTTCTTTTGCCTTTTTGTCAAATCCTTTGTTGACTTGAATGCTTTGCATAATTACGAGCCGGATAGAATATTGTTGATAGCCTATGCGAGAAAAAGCGTCACCTGATATATAAGATGCTTTATTAATTTTATAGTCAGATTTTAAATGGGTTTTGTTTTGTTTTGGTGGATCATTCAAGAAGGATTGGTTGGTTTTCTCATGATTTTTCAATGGCAGTTGAAGAGTGAAGACTAATCATTGAAAACCTTGCTTGATGTGGACTACACATTCCAACAAGAAACATAAAAATCTGGTAGAAACTTTGATACTGATCAAAACTGAAATTTTTTTACCTTGGGTTTGATTATTATTATTATTATGTTAATTAAAACGCTATTTTGCCAACATAATAATTCAAACCATCTGGAGATTTGATTGAATTAGCAAAACCCTTACAAAATATGGTTATGGATTTTTATCATTCACAAAATTGAAAATAGATAAAGCTTTCAGCCTAGTGTTAGTATTAGAATTGAGAGGTGTTAAGGAGACGGTGCTTAATTTGAAATTAATTAACATTCACAAGCCTTACACTGGTTATCCTCATATTTGATAGAATCTAAAACCAGCAGCATGTGGAATCAACCAAATGACATCTTAAATTAATAAAAGATAATAATATTTTTTTTCTTGGATTTTATTAAAAGAATAAATAATCATTTTCGTTTTATTTTTCAGAAAACTCTCTCCCTGTATGGCTATGTCCACTATTGTTATCAGTTTACGTGATTGGGGCCACAATCTGGAATGCCCAAAAACATCATTGTTAAAATGGATTGATTTGGACTCTGAAGTCTGAACCATCCCAAACCCACAATTCTAAAAGGCCCAAACTCCGGGACATTTCATTGAAACTTAAATTAAAAAAAAAAAGAAAAGGGTGAAAAGCTTCCCAGACAGGCCCCACTTAGAAACTTCTTTGAAGTTACGCGAGCAGAAAACTCTCCAGCACATTTTACGAGGGGACAGATGTTAATTGTTGTCTACAAATTGGTATTGACAGGGAAAATGGTGAGCGGAGAAAGTGGGATAAGTTTGGTGAAATGGGTATCAAAGCGTGGGAAAAGAAGAGTGGGCCTGGGAGCGTGGAGTTGTTTGATTTTGGAGATGTTAGGGGATGAGGAGTTGGTGGGTCTAATGCAAGTGGCATTGCTTTTCGTGGCTACATTGCCAAAAGATCGTCCAAACATGAGCATGGTGCTTGGTGCATAGGATGATTGAGGATATTAGGACTAAAGCTGCAAGAAATGGTGGGACGGTATGTATTTTGAATGACTTTTCCTCTGATTCTTCTCCAACTCTGTCAGAAAGAACTCTTGGCTTCAAATAGGTAAAAGCAGCATAGCATTAATGAGTTTCATGGGATGGAGGAGGAACGAGACAGTAATGATTAGTTAGGATATAAACAAACAGAATTTTCGAGAAATCAATAGTAAATATATTCGATTTTTATTCATTCATGTTTATTTATTAAATTTAATAAATAATTTTAAATATTATTTATATATTTATTAAATGAATTAAATATAAATAATTATTTATTTATTTATTAAAATTTACGAATAAATTTATTTATGATTAATTTAAAATTTATTTATTTATTATTTATTAATAAAATTATATTTTTATTATTTATTTTAATTTTATTTTAAGATTCGTTTATATTTATTTGGGTTTGTTTATATTCATTTAAAATTTATTTATTTAAATTTATTTAATTATAATTTATTTATTATTTATAAATTATTTTTTTATATATGTTCATAAACATATTCGTTTAATATTTACGAATAAATTTATTTAATTTAATTAAACAAATATGAATCAAACATGAATAATTTATTATTTAAAATAATAAATATAAACGAATAAAATAAATTCTTAACGAATACAAATTAAATACGATCATATTTAAAAATAAATAAATATGTATGTTTATTCATTTATATTTAATTTATTTATAATCTTATGATTCACAAACTCTTTTCTTTTTTTTTTTGTGTGATGATATTTGCTTGTGTTATTCTGCTTTGTGAGATTGCAAGCATTTGATATGAATACCATTAAAGAAAACAATTAGAAAAAACAAAGCGTGTTCTATTCATTGCAGAGGCAAAACGGAAAGAAAGAAAGAAAGTCACCGTCAAATATCCTGTTGTAGGTCCTAATAATGAACCTTATTTTACTTTTCTCAACTTTTTTAACTAAATTTTTATAAACAAAATCCAAAATAATAAATTTAAAAATGAAAAATATTTAATATTTTGCAATAATTGTATAATAATAAAATTAATTGTAGAAAAAATTTTTTTGTCTACCATATTTAAAAGTCAAAAAAGAAATTGGTGGGGTCCAAAAGTCCACTCCGGAGTGGAGGAGGCTTCGTAGCTGATGCAATTTTGATGAGGACCAGCGAAGGCAAAGATTCTTCCACGTGTCTCATGGAATGTTGACTGGAAAGGGCTTTTGTTGTCCGCTATTGCCTAATGTGGGATCCACTATGGAACCAACTCGACTGACGGAGATTCTCTTTGTCATTTTGGATTTATTTGAAATTATATATTTAACTTTTTATTTTTAATTTTATTTTTTATTTTGAGAAATAAAATTAAAACATATTTTTAATTCCATGGATCATTTAAAAAAAATCTACACGGTTTCACAATTTTACGCAAAAAGAAATAATGTCTTTGAATATAAAAAAGAAAAAAAAAAAGAAACGGATGAAATGCTTCCCAGTTCCCAGAGGCTTCGTTGACGTTACGCAAACAGCTCTCCAGTACTTGAGGTTGAGCCATGAAATATGTGAGGATCTTGGCTTGCTACTATTACTACTACTGCTAGTAATGTTGCTACTGCAACTGCTGCTATGGCTACTATTTCTGTTACCACTGCTGCTACTGCTACAATCGCTGTTACTGCTATTGCGGCTGGTGCTGCTACTGCTACTAACTACTACTCCTAACTACTATTTTTACTACTACTATTACATTATTATCATTATATAATTATTCGTCTACTTCTCTACGATAATAATGTTCTAAATTCCTTACATTGAAGTATTCTTGCACACAAATAATACTAATTTTTTTTTATTTTTTTGTTATATAAGCAAAGTCTTAGTATAAGTAAAAAAAAAATAAAAAATTTAATTCGAAACTAAATTTTTAATATTTCTTTAAACGTTTTTAATCATTAAATTAAAGACTTGAAGATAAAATAATACTAATTAAAGTATGATTACTACTATTACTAGTACAACAAATATATATTTTTTTTAGTATAGGAGGTAGGAGGAGAAAAGGTTTCGAAGTCAAGATCTTAATGTTTTAATTTTTTTTTAGTATAGGAGGTGAAATGAAAAAAATGCCCGAAACTAAGATTTTAATGTCTCAATTTAACACTCTTTGGCCATAAAATCAAGAGACAGAGGATATTATAATAAAAATTATTAAATTTAAGATCTCACTAAAAAATTATTTTGTTATGGTCGAGTCACAATATTTTTTTATTTTTGATGAAATATAAATTATTTAAAATTTTAACTTAATAATAAATATATATATGTTTTTTATTTAAAATTTAAAATTCTCACATTCTCAAGTAAAATAATAATTAATTAGTAAAATATTTTATAATTTTAATTATTTAAAATCATAATATTTTAATATAAGATAAAAATATGACTTAAATATGATTAATAAATTACATATGCGATTTTCATTTATTTTGATTTTTTTAATAATTACTTGAATTTAATTCTCAAGCTAGGAAAACATATATGCATATATTATTTTTAGAATATTCTCCCTATATTTTGACTCATAAAATCATTTTTTACCTTACGAGAAATTTTGAAAAAGAAATGTCACTAAAAAATTGAATTCCAATTATTGAAAAATTTTAGAATAATAATAATAATAATATATTATTATTATTATTATTATTATTATTATTATATGTAAACTAATAAAGTTATTAATCCTAAATTTAACACTAAAAATATACACATATAAAATAGTTTATATATATGTAATAAATGATAAAAAGTATACTATATAATCTTCCTAAATTTATTCTTATACTTATCCTGAACACCTTATTAGTTTAACATTTGGACAGAACAAAAAAATTTAGGTTTAATTGGTCTATGATCACTTAACCTTTACTTTATCATTTTTTTTTCTTTTTTAAATTCAATAAAATGAATTTAATAACATCCACCAGTTGCAATGGAATCCAAACTAAAATGGAATCCAAACTCTTGTCTGCCTTGAAGTTACGCAAACCGCAAACTCCCCATTACAACACTTTTTTCCTTCAAATCGCAACCAAACCAAAGTTTTCTTATGTTTAAAAGAAAAAAAAAATCCGAATTCCATGAACCACGGAGATGAGGGAGATGTGGAGATGTTCAGTCATGAAGAGGCGTGAGGACCCTGGCTTGCGTCCGCTTCCAGATACTCAGGTTTTGCGTCTACTTCTCTAAGATAGTAATGTTATAAATTCCTTACATAGACGTATTCTTGCACAAATAATACTAGTTGAAGTATGCTACTACTGCTACTACTATAATAAGGATTATTAAATTTAGGATCTCACTAGAAAATTTTCTACTACGTTCAAGTCACTTTTTTTTTTTTTTTGATGAAATATAAATTATTTAAAATTGTAACTTAATAATAAGTATATATGTTTTTTATATAAAAATTTAAATTCACACGTTCTCACATAAACTAATAATTAATTAGTAAAATATTTTATAATTTTTATTTATTTAAAATCCTAATATTTTAATATAAAATAAAAATTTGACTTAAATATGATTAATACATTACATATGTGATTTTCATGTGATTTTCATTTATTTTGAATTTTTAATAATTACTTGAATTTAATTCTCAAACTAGAAAATATATATATATATATATATATGCATATATTATTTTCAAAATATTCTCCCCATATTTTGACTCATTAAATCAGTTTTTATCTTAAGAGAAATTTTGAAAAAGAAATGTTACTAAAATAATCCAATTCTAATTATTGAAAATTTTAAATT